TGCAAAGAAGAAAGTACAGAATGTAAAGCTGTAGCAATTTTTTAGTGTTTTACATTTGTAAATATTAATAAATTAAGAAGATTGTTAAAAGTTATGTAACTTAAAAACTATTTTTGCATCTAATAGATTGATAAATTGTCTATCTAAAAAAATAAGCTTTTAATGTCTAAAATTGATAAATGAATAGATGTTTAACATTCAATATTAATTGTAGCAACAATATCTATCAATATCTGGGCATTGTTCATACTATGGCAACCATAGTAATTCCGTTGATTTATCCAGAGATTCTAAAAGTTGTTATAAATACTGAAATTTGAATTATTTTATTGTAAAAATAAAGAATAATGGATTCAGTTTAACAAAAATGTGATTATTAAGTGATATTTCTTCCATCTCTTGTGCAATTGTGCACTTTTTGGCTACTGAAACAATAGTAATTATTTTTTTATGTTTAACGTTAAATATCTTTTTAGTTATTGATTATAAACACCTAAAAGTAAATAATTTTAGAAAAACAATAAATAGGGTGTTCCATTTAATTTTTTTAAGTTATGAACTTTTAACAAACACCTTTATTTTTATATTTTTGCAAATGCAACACACTAAAAAAATGTTACAACCCTCGTCTTTGCGGTAGTACAAAAAATATTTATAGATGTCTTAGTTTTTGTGTAATAAATTTAAATGTTTTTTTCAAAAAAAATCGTCTTATTTTTAAAACTAGGCAAAATCGTCCAATAAGAAACAACGCTGACTTTTAAGTTAGTTAAGTTTGTTCTATAAGAAATGTTTTAATAGATAGATCACCAACAACATCCCATTTTGGGATGTTTTGAGACAATATTTTAATTATAAAATAATTTTTTGACATCTAGCTGACATACGAACTGCCTCCTCAAGTAGTACGTCTTACTTTGAGCTTATTTCAATTTTATTTGACATGTTTTTTTATTTTTTTAAATCAATAAAATGAATTAAATGTTTGATATACTTATATAAAAAAGTTATTAAAGGTTTAGTATTTTTTATTGCAATAATGATAATCGTTATTGTCAGTGCCTTCCTTGAATGATTTAGCGATTTTGCAAACTTGAAACTCGTAAACCCGCATACAAAAGCATTTCCTTTCATTTTTTCCTTTTTAAGTTTGGGTTTTTTGTTAAACTTGTGGGGGTCACCCGACTGTCTCTTAAAATACATTAGGTGGTACGTTCCGGTTTCGAATCGATGCTCAAATCTACTAAAAGTTTCCAACTGTACGTATTTTCCATTTGGACTAAATCCAATTTTTAGGCGTCCATTATTCAAATGCGGAGATTTATAGGCGACGCGCGGATATAAATCCACTGAAAATACGAGAAAATGGTTTGACTCGATGCTAATTTATTACCGCAACGCTTGGGTGCCAACCAAATTGTTACAAAACTCGAACCGAACTCACAAAGACATCATTTCCCGATCGGAATTTATAAGGTATCGGGTTTTGTGTTCTCCAAACGGCCACAAATAAAATCCTCAAATTGCGAACATCGACAAAGAGTGAATTATTCTCGTGGTTTTATCCAAACTTTTCATATTTGCACAGTAAAAACTTTGCAAGATAAGAGGGTTTTTACCAGCAGTTTCTTGTTTTGGTGGCCACAAAGCAACGGAAAATGAAGCAAAAGTTGCAAAAATGCTTGTGTTTTTCCAAGGATTTGACGTTGGCGACGAGACTTATTGCTTTCATAGGAATTGTAATATTTTAATCGTAAGTGATTGATTTTTTTCGTGATTTGGAGCTTGTAGGCTGTCTCAGTGTTGTTGATAACAGTGCTGCTAAATGATTTGTCGGCAAAAAAATTTAATATTAGTAGAAATGTGGCCCTAGCTTTAGGACTGGACTGGAGACATATCGATTATCGAGCCAATGCTTCCCCAAAATCTGATCCAGAAGGTAAAAAATTTCAATTGTTAAAATTTTAATTGTCGATATGGTACTAACTTCGTGCCTCTATGTGATTTAGTGGTTACAGAAATGCATTTTAAATGACAATTTTATATCAATCTTTACAAACTTTAGATGTAGCAATGTTTTGAAAAAGAAAGTAAAAGTTTAAAACGATTGTCGATGATGTTTTAGTTTGAGTGAATTACATAAATTATAATTTTTCCAACACAAACGTTTTATATTGATGCATTTAAGCTTACCTTTTTGACATTATTTTGACATACTTAATTACAATAATTTCTGTATTTAGTAAAATTTTTGATTCAATATTAATCTTGAAGAAACACGAATTTTATAGTTTAGAAATTTTCACCTATTACTACGACATTAATTTTTAGACTGTCTATAAAATTCTAGTTGTCTTAATAGCTATAAATAAACCTGAAATAAAAAAAAACTTACTCTTAAAAATGATTGTTTTTTTTTTTTCATAATACAAGTTGATTTAGCAAAGATAATAAAAAGCCAAATTAGGCGTATGAAATCTCATCATCCTGTAATTTTATACAAATATTATGTAGATAAAAAAAATATTACAATAATTTGAGTTCTAGTTATGTTTATAAGCAAAGTTTTTGGTAATTCTAATGTCGTATTTTTTTAAACATCCTTGTTTTTAATATAGTCATTTTTGCTTAATCACCCTGTGTTAACTTCACTATGACTTTACTCTACTGATTGTCGTAAAAAAATTCTTTCAAAATAAATTATAATTTGTTTAGTAATAATGCAGGCTAATTTAGCTAAAATGACATTACCAGTTCAGAATTAGCCTAAATTCTGTCTTTTTTTAATTAAAAATTTAGGTTGAATAAAAAACAATATAAAAAATAAATAATTTAAATTCAAATTCAAAAAGATTCAGTCAATGAACAAGTGATAATCTTGGTTTACTCATCCTATAATTTATTAGCAATGTAATGAAACACAACTCTTGCGAAAATTTAAGTAGATATTATTATGGTAAAAAAGTTTATTTTCAATAATAAATAAAGTAATAATTAAATTACTTTGCATGTAAAAAGTCGGAAAAAATAACATTTCAACTTCATTTGACAATTGATATAAAATATCAAGTTCAGGGTGGAAAATGACTACTTCCCAACCCGAAAATTAATAAGGAAGTAACCACTTTCTAACTTAAATTGTCATATGTCAGTTTTTCAAAATTAAAAAATTCTTTATTGACTTCCTGTTCTTTAAAGAGGATGATTGTGAATAAAATAGTATACAAACTTTGGTAGGTAGTCGTTACTTCATCATACCTCGACTTTTGCTAACCTTCGCCTCCCACCTCGGTATGTAATCTACTATTATTCACAATCACCATAGTAATATGACGATTTCTAACCTTTTAGAGGTTGGTAAATTTGTCATTACATTCCGTGATCGGGAAATAATTAATGAAGGATTACCAAAGTTACGAGTCCATCAACTTTATCAAAAATTATCTAAAGAAATGCGAATGTGAATAAAATAGTATAAAAACTTGGGTCTTCGGAGTAATGACACATTTCCCACCACGTATGTAATCTAATTTGTGCTTATTACTCGTGTCTAATTACAACTTTCTATGCGTTTTGTAGTAGTCATTTAAGCTGAATCAATCTGTATATTAATCTGTTTCTTCTTTAATTGTGTTTGTGTCGTATGTTGTAACCTCCAATATTAAAACACAAATTATATTATTATTTTTTCATACTGATTTACTGCGTTTTTTAGTATTATAAGAATAAAAAAACAAATTTTATTAAAACAATCAACACAATAAAAAAGTAAAACCTAACTTGATTAGAGCTTCGGCAGCGCTTTGTTGAAATAGTGGTCAATTTTAGTGCACAAACTGGATCACAATATCAACAAAGCGCATATTTTTTATTGTAAGCAAATCTGATTTAGTTTTAAAACTAATGAAATTTATAATTTTAGGTAAAATTATCTTTGCTCTTATTATGTTCTACACACTTCTATTTTTCGCAACAAATGTGTTATTGTTTTTAGGTGCAATTTGGGTAAGTGTAATACAAATCTTTTGTCTAAATTACATTTTTTAATTAAATTCTTAATTTTAGGAGAAATTCTGGTTGGCAATACCTTGGCTCATATGCGAACTCCTTGGTTGCATTTCTAAATTTTCAGCTTTAATTTTCCACTTAATTACCGAAAAAGACAATTTGAGTCGTCTTTTTCTTATAGGTTCCACCATTTACATTCGTAAGTTCCTGTGTTATTTTTGATTTGATTTAATTTTTTATTAGTGGTAATGATTTGGTGGTGGCTTGTTGTCTTTACTGCTCAAAAAACATGGCAAGAGAAAAAACACCCAAACTCGGAAATTTCGTTTTCCATAAACGAAACCGGCACCGGATTTAATTCAATTTTGTTAAATTCTCCCGAACCGTACCATGCAAATCGCTTATACACCACTATTTAAATTAAATTATTGTAAAATCATTACTAAATTTCTTGTTTCTATTATAATTCTTGTCTTATTTCCCAATTTCCCTCTTCAACGTCGTTGTATTATTTTCAATGAGTCGCTTTAAGTCATTTATAACACCTCAAAGGCGTCCAAAGGGAAACTCAATTAGATTTGGGTGTAAGGTAAGGGGAAACTTATAGTCACAGAGTCGTACAAATTGAAATGTATTCGCTTGATTTTAATTGGTTTAGCGCATAGAGCGTTATAAGCCCACACCTTCAATCGTAATTAACAAAGTTCCTATTGAGTTAATCAAGGCAATACTCATCGAAACTCGCTAGTTATTAGAGGTTCTGCTCCCTTTATACGTATTCATTACCAGATATTGGATAATTGAATTTCGACAAAACTTTCAATAGGACAATCGATGCTGAGGTGCACCTGTCGAATCACTCTCATTAGTTACAAACTCAACTTTGAGACATTCAAACGAATTCTAAGTAAGTGTCTAGACGGAAAGAGGTTTTGCGGTGACTATTATGCATTTTTTGGACTATCTACTTTTAAAATCTAACTGAAGCCTTTAAATAAGTATAAATAGTATATCATGTTATAAGGAGTACGAGTAATAGTTAATATACGAAGCTGAACGTTTATATAAATAATTTAGCTGAGCGACACAAACTCACTTTTACTTCAAATAACATATAACATATTCTCCCATTGGTATTTATAAAAAATAATACACTTATGAAATAATACATATTTTCTTTTATAAAATTTCCAATACAAAATATTCAGTAGTGGATCAAAAATTGAGTTTCTGTAACCTTTGATGTTAAATACAGGGTGCGCCAGAACTCGGGCCCCAGAGAAAAATACCATGTAAGGTAAGATACCAGGAACATGAAAAAAATGTTAAAAAAATTTTATCTATAAAAATTTCGAAGTTATGAGGGTTTAAAGTTTGCACTTTGACTCTATTTCCTTTGGAAACATAATTTTCCCAGTTTTTTTGCTACAGGCTATTAAAAGAGGAAACAAGGAAGCTGTATCCTAAATTGTATACTATACAATTGCTATATAATTGTAAAAAAACATATACAAGATCATCAGTATCATTAAATAGATATAAAAAATGTCAAATGTCAAAAAATAAATGTCAAAATTTTTTGACAGATAAAATTTTTTAAACATATTTTTCATGTTCCTGGTATTTTACCTTACTTGAAAATTTTTTCTGGGGCGCGAGTTCTGGCGCACCCTGTATTCTAATAAAATCATATCTTTTTAATTTTCGCTTACATTGTTGCAACTAATGTTAGTATAAATTTTCTTATTGTGTATAGTTGCTTTGTTGTTCTGATTAAAAATAGAACCTCCGGAAAATTAATTAATAGTACCTAGCTACAAGTCAAATAATAATTTTTCTCTTATATGAAAAAATATACCTAAAAGTGGTAACTAATTCAACGAAATTTTAAAGTCACTAAACTTAAAAAAAAACAAGCGGGAGCAATATTTAAACTTTTTATATCGGAGAGCGCGAAACATAAAAAATGATTAGAATATTTTTAATATATTAATTAAAAATCATGAATATTCATCAAACTTTTTCAACAGGAATGCTCGTAATTTAACAGGACATTGAAACTAGTATAAAATTTTTGTGTTGTGTTAAGATTTTCGAAAGTGTTTGTTCACATAACTAGTGGATGACTAGTGCAGTTAGTAGTGCAAAATGTTGATTTATAATGTACCTCTCCAGAAATTGCTGAAGCCGCGAATGAGACAACATAGTAAATCTCATAGTAAAAGCAAAAACTTTAAGCGAAAAACAGAGTTTTTACTCCATGCCTGAAAGGTAAAATACTTTTACTTGTGTCATTTAGTCAAAAAAGGTCACTTTTATGACGTTTGCGTATAAAATATATTTTTCCGAAATCGTCACAAAAACTACATAAAATCGTCGAAAAACAGTCATCCTGTACAGGGTGTCTCAAGTTTTAGGACCGGAGCAAAAATAGATTTTTAATTGATTAAAAAAAAATTGGCTAGTGCAAACGATAGAGGATTATACAGGCTGTTCCGGCTAAACCCCACATTAGAAGTATTGGGAGTTTTGATTTTGATTACCTATAGAGATAATTATTGTTTAGATCCTGTTCAACGAAAATATTTTCAAGATGGCAGCACTTCCGGTTACACCGGAAATGGGTATGCACTTTGCTATTGTTTGTTTTATTTATGCTTTTTATTGCTTTTTTGAGTTACTCAAGTAATTTTGAGAGTGTTTATCAGACTTTAAAATATCTAGGCTTTTTTGATTTTTTGTAAATTTGCATCTTCCTCTTCAAAAATCGGTAACTTTACCATTTTTAATTATCTTGAAGTTGTATTTGGGCATATGAAAGAGAAAGGTTAGATCTTTTCTGTTGTGTATTTATAATTGGAAAAATATTAACAAAATCTCCAAAATTTAAGGTTTCGTTTGGGAAACTTCAAATACCCATAATTGAATTTTTTGAAATGGAAGGCCCCACGCAATTTTCTTTTCACTAAATAAAAGAGAATTTAATTCTGCATCGATCTGTATCAAAATTTAATGATTTCCAAGTTATTTTGATTTTTTTTACAATGGAAGAAATTCATTACTATCCATAGTAGTTTTCGCATAGTTTGCCATAGAAATATTTCTCACTGAGAAAACGCCAATTTTTTTTACAACTGTGTTATTATTTTCGTAAATACAAATTAAATTTATTGAATCTAAATTTAAATAAGTCAAGAAATTCTGGCCTGATCACCAATTACCGCAAACCCCCCCATAAATTATTTCAGATTTTCAATATTAAAATGTTAATTATTCAAAACCTATCAATTTTGAGGTTGTTCCCAAATACCACAGTAAAAATCAAAGTATTTTATCATGTAGAAAATATTCCAGGTAATTGATTTTTTTTCTCCAATTTAATTCTTAAAGTTTCACTGCCATACTCTAAAATTTTTTACAATATGAAGACATCAAATTAAAGTGTATTTAATCCTCTAACGTTTACACTATCAAAAAATTTTTTAATCAATTAGAAATATTAATTTTTGGGCCGGTCCTGTATATTAAACAAGATCAAAAAAAATTTGGTCGGCAAAGATATTCCACGTCAATATTCATGAAGAAATAACTTTCTTTTTAAATTCAGTTTGTAGAGAGCATTTCTTTGAGATGTTTTTAAGAGGTTCACTCCGTGTCAATATTTTCAAGGCGAGCTGGCTAGTTTAATTTGTGAAATCGTCAATAAATTCGCAACTCGTTAAATTATGTTGGCAAAGTAATTTCCCTTCAAAAAAAGAATCGCAAAAGCTAATACACTTTATCGAATTAGGTTTTAAAAAGCTTTAAACTTTGCCGAGTCCCTTTAATGTATCTACTTGAACGCGCTTTTAAAAAGAAATGAAAAGAAACGAAAGCGTAATTTGTTAAAACGTCGGACGCTAACTTTTAAAACACTAGTTAGAGAGTTTTTAAATTTGTCGTCAGCCAACCCCGAGCCAAACCGTAATCTAATTGCCTCACATTTGTAAAAAACGTAACTTTTTTCCCGCCCCCTAAATCGATCGAGGCCCCTATAAGCCAACGTCCTGCTAAATTCGACTGTTATTTTAAAGCGACACAAAAGCGCGATGACTCTGGATATATTTATGAATGCGAAAACATTTACAATATAAAAGTGGGTTTTTGAAGCACAATTAATTATTTTTCATGGTGCTTGAGTATCATAAATGCAATGATGGGACACTTCCTCTTGACGAGTATGTACGCACAGCAGCCGGTAACACCGCTTTGATGGGGGTATTATGAACTCCCAAACCAAGAATAATGAACTGACGATGAGATAGTGAGACTGCACTTTTTCGACAACTGTTACATCCAACGGGTAAAGGGGACAACACCATAAATACTACAAGGAAAAATAACGCTTTTCTATTCTACATCTCACAATACATAGGCTGTTTTTTTTTAAACGGAAATCACTAAGTCAAAATTTTGGTGATACACAGGGCTATAAAAAAAAGTCAAGTCGTGACAAGTTGACAAATTTTATATTATTTTGTTTGCCTCAGTCATACAAAAGTCCAAACACTTTGAACAAAATAATTTTTTTCTAATTTAAATGAATTACTTAAATCATTACTCAATAACTATTAGGCCGATTTCCTTCACATAAAGACCATTCTAAAGGAATGGACTTGCCCTTTAGAATGATATGCAATTTGAAATTGAATATTGGTAAACTTTTCTTCGAACAGTGTTCGAAGAAGTTCGAAGTAAATCGAAATAATCTAAGAAAAACCCTACGAATAGATTTTTTATCATTACCATCGTGTAGAGCACCTCTTTATTAGTTGTAATCCAAATTTTCAAAAAAATATTCCGGGTAGTTTCCAAGATATGATTTTTTGAAGTTAAGGTTTGCTAATCAAGCATTGCTCCATACAAGAGAAATGCATGTTAATCTTACTTAAAATTGCATTTTTATAAAAGTATTTGTTTTAAGACTCTTCTTTTGCTTAAAAATGGTCAATTGCACCTTCTTTGTTCTAATTACAATAAACAAAAACTGTTTGTTTACTTAAAACAAATAAATAATACCTGCGTACTAATTAAAGCAGATAAAGAATTTTTTTATTGTAAAAATGATCACTGATCATTGAGCAAAGAGGATATAGAAGTTTAAGGCACGAGTCTTAAATATAAGGGCAAATCTTTTTCAAATCAAATCACTTTCCATTCAAATTTCGACTTGTTCACTTTGTTCTAGTTTTCTGAACTTTTTTTGAAAATATTCTGAGCAAATGCTTTCTCATCACTTTCGAGTGATATTAAATGCAATAAGTCACCTGATTTATTTTGTTGGTACGATTAGCTTCAGTTAGCTTGCTGGTAGTAGTTGTTGTGATAACAGTTGCACACGAAGCAACTGACTTATTGCATTCAACATCAGTAGAAAGTG